GTTTCAACAAGAGAGGGCGCTTTGTGTTAAATTAGTCATGGGATCCACATACAGGAGGTTCGAGTGCAAAGGGAACTCTTCGTCCTTACCTTTCTAATGCACTCAATTTTGTCTTTAAATTCATTTTCATATGCACTTTGAGACTAGAAATGTTGGGATTTTAATGACAAATATCTGACTGAGTACACCCTTTGCTCATGTAGACATTGACTTGTGTCATGAGAGCTTTTTCGTTACTCTCTCAATCATTTCAATTGCATTTCCTCTAATAACTCAGATCCCTGAAAACGAACACCTTCAGCGAACTCACAGATGTATTAAATGGCATTTGTTTTAAAGAAATGCTTAGCCTACCTATCTGTGTGGTACCACACCAGTCTTCTAAGTGGAAACTTTATCGAAATGATCCTTGGCTGGCAATAGTTTCACTGATTTGGCTAAACATGTACTGTGCCCTTAACAGTATGCAGTATGCTCACTATTCCTCAACCAATGCTCTGTAGAATTATTCTGTCTCTGATATATATTACCTTGTTGGTGTTCACTTAGAGCAAGTGTGGAGGTGTGGTTTTGTTAATGTAAAAAGTGCGATCAGTATACGAAGAAGAAAAAAGGGTTCTGTTAGGAATACAAGTGTTTTATTTTAAAGAGTATTTAAATTACTGCATGTTGGACATTGCTGTCCTTGTGTTGACAGGTCGAGAGGAATGGCGACTGGGGACAAATCCAATTGAAAATGTACCTTAAATCTTAATAGAGGAACCAAAAGTAACTAATGCATAATAACACATGGTGATTAACAATGTGTAATATCAAATGTGAGTCCCATTTGGCTTTATTTACTGTTTGAGAAGAAAAATACCATTAAAGTAACGTCAGCACTTAAACAGGAAAAATATAATTTTCCCAATAACCAGTCAAAAGACAAAAAATATTTACAAATTTAATTTACAGATTCTTGCCCTGAAGGCAAAGCCTTACCAAATTGTGACAATTATAACAACATATTATGGCTTGTACAATGTAGCGTTTAGGTATAGAGTTTAAAGGGTGGAATGGAGAGAAATGAGTGTACTGTAATGTAAATTGTGTCAATATTTTATTATGTTTTTTAAGGAAATGTCAGTTATCTTTTTATCATAGCTACACTTCAGGTAGTTGAAAGAGTGATTGTAAGAGTTATCACTTTAGATCAGGTCTTGATTAAGTGTATTAATGTGTGACACGGTCTGTCCACTTGCCAACTATGAACGTATCCCATGTACTTTTTTCACCTTTTATGTAGAGATGCCATACTTCTTATAGCCTCTTTTTTTTTTTAAAAGAAGAAAATAAGTACGTTTCTATCACTTTATTTACACATTATAAGCTGGTTGTTGATGATACCCAAGCATTTAATAAAATTTGAAAATGTTATATTCTCATTATTCCATGTACACATTTATGTTTTATATTTATTTGCTTTTTCATTAAAATTCAAAAAATATGCATTTGCATAAATACAAAAAATATGCATTTGCATACACCCACCTGTATTGGTATACAGGTATAATGTAATAATCAATGGAGTATATGCACATGGACTTTTAATTCCAATGAACTGCCTTTCCATTAAAAAAATCGCCCAGTTTAAGATCTGACTACTTTAAAAATCAGTGATCTTCACTGCCTTATAGATATTTTATATAAAGTCTGTCTCAGATTGGACAAGAAGCGCTGCATTAAATTCCATTTTACTTGCCATCTCTTTAAAATATGCATATTTTTTTTACCCCAGTATTTTGAAAAGAGTATCTGCGCTAGCCTGCTGTTACTGACAGCACTAGCGGTTACCAAGTCCATCATCTTCTTTTATGCTTGAACATCTAAATGAATGCTTAATTTTATTTAACTGATTGTATTTAATATACATTACGATGTTGATGCTGTAAAGGGAACCTTATAAAATTTAAAATAGCCCCATTAACCTTTCACAGAAAGTTTCCTATTGGTTGAGAAACAGTAGCTGTGCATGTAGCCCATTCCTGATATATTATGTTTATTATTTTTCATTTCTGCTTTTTTAAAATCTTTGTTACACTGTTTAAATTTTGTTTAAATGTTTAGAATCTGTTTCTTTAAGGTTATTAATTGACTCTTTATTAATGTGTTCTTACCTTATTTTTTTTATACCAAAAAAGAACTGTTGTGTGATTATTAGCCACACAAAAATGCATAAAAACATTGCTAGATGCACATTTAATCTTCATAAACACCTGCAGTGTCAAAAACAGTGTATGATTTCATACATTTTTTTATTATTGTAATGGTTGGGATTTAATTTTATTCAGTTTGCCTTTTTTTACCTGAAAAATGCACAGGTTTTGTGGTTGTAAAATTGGTTTCTCAAAAAGAATTGGAGTTCTACAGCTCTGGGAAAAATAACAATAGACCAATCAAACTGATTGGTTTATTTGAATGTGTCACTCTTAGGTATGTGTTTTGAGGTAAAATGTTAATTTGTGTTTTCTTAGGGAAATAACATTTTCCTTCCACCACCCATTTCAATGTATCTTTAAATTTTCAAATATGAATATCATAAAGTACTTATTTGCAGATATTCCATATTTCAGTCCTTCAATATTCATATAAAGTTGCATGTGTTTTACTGAAACACTTATAGGCCTAATTATAAACATATACATATACATGTGTGTGTATATATAAACACATGTATATGTATGTATTTATAGTGAGGCCCATTTGAGTAAAACATGTTTTCTGCAAACTACTGATGACATTTCTAATACATTTAAAAATGTTTTCAGTTACAGCATAAAATAAGAAGTAAAAAAACATAATAGCAATGTTTATCTCCACAAGAGATTTTACTGCATAATGCATTTTTTTAAAACACTACATTATTTTACTTTAATATATTATTAGACATTTATAGAAAAACTATAATAATTTACCCAAACATATACCTAATAAATCCAGCACATTCAGGAAAAAATGGTCCCTCTATTTTTTCTGCAGCTATTTTAATGTAAAATCCAAATTTAGGATACCGATTTGTGACAGATGTATTTATTTTTATCCCAGAACTGTATACACTATTATTGTAGCACTTTGCATTGCTCTTTTCCATGTTGATCAGTTGGTGGCAGCAAGGATCCTGCAACCTCTGGTGTGAAGCTGGAGCCCGGCAGCACAACTGTCACATGGATTAAAACGCTGATAGTGGGTGGAAAACAAGTATGAGCGTCCTCGAGTGTGTTTGTGCACAAGGGAGGGCAGAAATTAATTTGTATCCACTGTTTTTATTTCCTGTTATGGGTGAAGGAAACGTGTTGTCTATCATTATTTGTATCCATCTAATGTTGTTTATTAATTTTCTGATGTATAGCTGGACTAGTAATATGTTAAGCTATGAAATGGTAAATACCTGCATTAAGCATACTTGGATACTCTCGTGAGGTTGGGTTCATCAGGTTCAGCCACAGCCAATCTGTTTCCTTTATTTCTGAATGTTTTGTGGGTGTGTGCGCCACTCCGCCTGGATTCACGCAGTTTCTGTATTCTCACGCGGCTGTAGCATGGGTGGTTTAAATGGGCGGAGCGTCGCGCATTATGCTAACCAATGGCCGGCCGAGCCGGGAGGAGCCTGTTTTCTGTCAGCCAATCACAGCAATAAGCACTCGAGGCTGAGCCGCGTCTCCGCGTGCGGACACCATGTGCACTGGAGAGCGCGTCTGTGTTCCTGAGACACAACGTGTAGTTGCCATCTCCTCTCGCATGATGCTCACGTTTCCAGCGGATTACCAGTGAAGTGAAAAAGTGTGCCCGCTCGCTTGGTAGGTTTCCCCCAAAAGGTAGCTCTCTGAGTGATAAAACTCGACCGTTTGTTAGGTGAGATCAGCAGTCTATATTACAGATTATAAACATATCTGTGATGCTCTGTAAAACTGGCCACTCTCAAAATGTTCTCGATAAATGCCACACGTTAATGCTGTTTCATAGTGCCAAACGTAGGACAGCTGGGAATGAAATTATCGACCAATTTGTTTTTAATCAGTGCCACCCACCCCCGAGGAGCGTGCCTGTCACGAGGGGGCGTGCCTCATTAATATTAAAACTCCGTGCAAGTAGTGCCATGTTCGCGCTTCTAGACTGGGAGGTGTGACGTCACGTGAGCGGCCCGTGTTCGTTCCAGCTGAGCGAAAAGCTCGGACGGCTCAAGCTCAAAGCGTGCGACAACACACATGCAGAGAGAACTGAACAGAAGGGGGTGACCACAGAGGGAAAAAAGCGATTGAGCGACTGCATGGAAAAAAACGTCAACATCCCACCAATCGCGCTACGCAGCAGAAATTGACTCAGCAACACTTCGTTTTGTTTTCATTTGTCATTTTCGAGGCGACGCATTCAAGAGTTCCAGCAGTCAAGTTATCATTTGCGTTATTGGAGTCATTTATTCTTCCTGTTTCTTCGCCTGAGTCGCTGTATTTTGTTAAATTATTATCTGTACGTTGCGCTTGGAGGTCGTTATTCTGGACATTTGTCTATTTTTCTTCAAAAGTTCCGGCAGAACATAAACTGTCAAGAATTTCTGGGAATACGAGGAATGTATATTTCTGTCCATTCGTCTAATCTACCATCAACTGCAAGCAGAATGGCGCTCTTTGTTTAAAAAAAGGCTGTTTTCAAATAAAGGTAATTATACATTTTCTATCTGTGATCAGATGCTGTGGTGCTGCACGTGAGCGCGCAGGTCTTTCCTCCTCCTCTGTCTCTAAAGTAAACACGGTCTCGTGTTGCGTGACTTCACAACTTTGTCTACTTTTATGATACGAACTGCATTACATGCTGATATCTGTGATGTCTGAACACACAGTCATGTCGATATTAATGTATTTCTGCTTGCTTCCACTATGAATCGTCATGTGATTGATTTGACGGCTGCACAATAGTATCGAACCACGCAAGCATCTAGCGGTCAATCCGGCGGACGTTGGATGATGGCCAGGCCGCTTTCACAGCTCCTTCCCCCGGACCTTCCCTCTGCCGGAGCCAGTCCGCAGTTTGGCAACAGTAGCCAAGCAGGAGTCACACATAACGGAGGACACTTAAACTCCACAGGAAACTTAAAATCTCTCCTGCAGCTTCCAGTCAAATGTGATCAGCGCGTGAAAGACTGTGGTGAAATGAAGGGTGAGGAAACGCACCTGTTTTATATATATATATATATATATATATATTTCTTAATTTCATTAAGACTAAAATGTGCTAATATACACAACGAGAGTTAGTTTCTCAATTCCTAAGGTGGCAGTTTTTCTTTCATGTGTGGTTGCACATGTCAAATGGCAGGGTCATGTGCCATCGTGCATATCTCTCAGACGGGACATCACATGGGACTTGAAGAGATAAACAAGGCCAGGCCATTCAGCCACTTAGCGCACTACCCAGGTGCTTTGAGGTCAACTATTGGCTAAGCCATTTTGTTTACAGGCCTGCGCTGGGTACAGCCTAACCACACTGACAGAAGTTTTCCATTGCCTGTGAATATTGGAAAAGCTTCAGTATGGATTGCTGTCCGTGTCATTGTTTCGTACTGATTATTTGCTCGCCATTAATGCGAAATGACCCTGAATAGATGAGGAGCAAAATTGAATTGTGTGTGCACAGGATTTGTGAATCTTATTATGTAGTATTAAAAGCAGCACATTTAATTTTGAACAGTATTAGTGGTCATACTGTATTTGTCGATTCAGCAACACTTATAGTGTTTGGCTAATTGTTTTTAAGCGTAGGCAGTTTTAGGCGACAGTCTGCTGTGTTTTCATAGAGGAAAGACTACAAACTTAAAACCCAATTACATTTTTATGGTTTGTTTTTATACTGAATAACTCAACCAGAAATTGCAAATTTCAAACTGCCTTTAGTGGTTCTGGTTTCCACTCCAATGCGCCATAAAATGCCTGATTTAGACTAACTGGAGTTGTTAAGCGTTTAGACCTCACCCTAGAGTGTCTCAGACCCCACCTTAATACTTTAAGATGGAAACCTCCAGGCCTCAGCCATGTACTATTGCTGATATTGTGTTCTACAATACTCATCTGGCTTTGTTGTTACACCTGTTGTTTTTTGCGTCATTGCTTTGGTTCAATCATAATAGCGCAATTCTGTAACGTTTAGTCATTGTTCGACAACATTGTTGCTGTGCCACGCAGCTAAGCAGTGTCACAGCAGTGTAACAACATTGTAATCGCTTTACCATGGACTTTCAGACACATTAATCTTTTGCAAGTTTAAAGGAAGGTATTTCAAAGCCTCTTCATTTTGCATTGATGCACTGGGAGGCGCATCTATTCACATGTGTTGACATTGCAAAGGTAGCTCTCCCAGAGGGATGTGAAAGTTGCTGGGAACTGTTATTCCGCCCCTAACTGCGTAATCTCACAAACATTGCACTCCTGAAATGTAGAAATGTCATTATAAGTGTTAATTAGTAGTTGTCATGTTTTTTTTTGATGGCTTAGTATATATACCCAGATTAAATTGGATGTATTTTCTTTCTCTCACAGGTAAGGAAAGGTTAGATATCGATGAGGACTCTCTCGGCCGTTGTCCTCTGCGCAACGGTTGCAGCAATGGACTAGTCAGTGACAGCAATGGAGCAGGAACGGGCAGCTTCTCAAACAACAGCAACAACAACAACTCCTTCCTGGGCCCGTTGCTATGGGAACGAACATTGCCCTGTGATGGCGGGCTGTTTCAGTTGCAGTACATGGATCTTGAGGAGTTCCTGACGGAGAACGGGATGAGCAGCATGCACAATACCTCCAACTCCACCTCGGCTCAGATACCCTCGCAAAGCTCTCAGTCCGCCGTTCCCAACCAGGGCTCCCAGTGCCTCCCCACATCACCACCACACTGCTCCTCTTCCTCGTCACCAACATCCGCCACTGCCTCTTCACCTTCACTGCTCGGGCTGGACATGCACACGCCCCAGAGCATGATGGGATCTACAGACTGCTTGCATGGTGAGTTAGGCCCCCATTTCTACCAATCTACATTCATTTTCAGGTATACAATCACAAGCAAGATACATTATGGTTTTCGCTTGGTTTTACACCGGCCTCTTGAGACTCCCTGTGTTTGCATTTCGTCAAGAATCCTCCATTTTATTTGGACACATTCCACATCAGGTTAATAGTAGTTCGATATGCAGTGTACAACCAATGTTGTGTTGCTTTTAAGCAAGTAAACGAAAACGATGTGGATGGCAACTACAATTTGAATGCCATGTTTTGTTTACTCTCATACAGCATATCCCATAATGATCACATGTTTGGTCAATAGACAAAGAGTAGGTGGTGTTTTGTGGTTGATCAAAGACATTTGACCACATGAGTGTTTAAACTATGAAAGCCATCCAATTCCATTTTCAAATACCACAGGAAGGTGTTGAAAATGGACATGCCTTTAGTACTTTAGACCCCATTTTCACTTGTATTTAGCACCCACTTGATATTCAGCTTGATGAAAATCTATTTTAATACTGTGTAAACAAGACCTAAGAGCCATTTAATACTTAGCGTCAATTGGACGCTGTACCCCGTGTCATAATACGCAGCACATGTAGCCGACGCCATTTTGTGCATTAATACTTCTGCCTTCAATCTGTGTTGCTCTACAGTTTTACACCCAACAAACACAAGTTTATCTGTGTTCAACTGGTTTAAGATTTGAGTTTGGCCTACTACATGATGGAACTGAGCTGATTGTGTTGGTCCTGAAACTGATGGATGTTGAAAAATAGTAGCTTTAATTAAAATAAGTACAAACAAAACCAAAATAATGAGAAGGACATCCATTTTTTTTCTGTGCTTTCACACTGGAAATGCATTGGAGGAAAGTAATGCTACCAATTTTACCAATCACAGATCTTGCCATCACGTTGTTAGGATGCCAATTTATATTTTTGAGGAGTTTCGCTTCAGGGTACGGCGTAGGGTACACAACCATGCATAACCTACACCATACCTACTGTGTACATTCAATATAGAAGTCTACATTGGGTTTTAAATATAACTTGCTCTTGAAGATGCAAGCTAGAGAGGATGTTGAAAACCCACAAGACTAAGACCAGCTCATAGAGATTAGGAAAGGAAACACTATGGGTGGTAGATGAGGTTTCACTCAATTCAAACACTTCCTCCATTTTGCTTTCAAGAATTCGCAAGGATTTCGTTCTGTGAGCTGAAAAAAGTACCAGACTGTCCCTTGGGTGTGTGTGTTTGTGTATTACTGAGTAGTTTCAGAGTTTTAATGGTTTGGGTGTGTGTGTGTGTATGTTGTTATAAGTGTGGATTGAAGCTCATAGTGTGTATTTGTAGGCTTGACTATTTGTAGTGTCAAGAGGTTTGGGCAGTTTTTGGGAGTGAGTGTTCGAGGGTGTGCGGTTGTTTGTGATTTTTGTGAAGATGTTCATTTTGTTTTCTAGGTATGCGTTAATATTGTGCGTATTTCATGTCATCAAAAGGTATTTGAGTATGTAATGGGTTGTTGAGTAAAAGCTGAGTGTAAAGTTTGCATGTGTATTTGAAAACAGACTGGATCAGTTAGAAATGTCCTAAAGGAAACTGGCAGTAAAGGGGGAAAAAAGGGCACATGCAAAGACAAATGGGGATAACAGCACATGAAAAGAGAGGAAAAGATTTAGCTATAGAGGCTAGAAAAATACAGCGATTGAAAGGCCGGTAAGTAAACAGTGAGAGAAACGCAGGTGAGCCAGCAGCAAAGAATGAAAGGCAAAGACGGCGTGTGTGTGCAATTGTGCTCGCATGTTTTTAAATCTCTTCCTCTCCTCACACGTTGGTCCATGTGCGCTCGCTCAATCACGTGCTGGGGCCGAGGACAGGGGAGGAGCCGACCAGACTAGAGGAGGTGTGTGTGTGTGTGTGGGGGAGTGTGTGTGTGTGTGTGTGAGCGTGAGCAAGCGTAAGTAACAGACAGGGAGAGATTGAAAGATTGAGATGGAATGACTCAGTTCGAACTTGATACTGTACTTCCGATTAGATGTTTGTTTACATTTCTGAAGTGGCTAAAAAAGAAAGAGAGAGAGTGCGAGATTAAAAGTGCTTCTGGTAAATATTTAAAATGTTCAACCCGATTAAAAAGCACATGCAGAAGCCATCACACGTATTTGTACAGATTTTATCAAGCCGTCAAAAAAAAAAAAAAATGAGAGAGAGAGAGCCTGTGTCAGTGCATGTGCCACAGTGGACAGTACAGAGATGATCTTTGCCAAATGGGGTTAAAGTTACTCTTAAGGGCACTTTTACTGACAGTAGATTAGGTTTATGGCTCAACACATAGATTTTCATAACATAGCAACGGTGGATTTGATGCGCTGTCATGACAGGGTCCACTTAGATTCCCTAAAGCAAATTTGCTCAAGAGCCTTACAGAGAAAATAGATATTTTTGTATTTGTTTGCACACCAATATCTTTTGAGTTTTATTAAGGAGAATCTTACAAATTTATCGTCAGTAGTCAAACGTTTTATATATATATATATATATATATATATATATAAAGAAAAAAATATATTAAAAAACACACAACAGTTCTATCAGTTTCCTAAAACATGAATTCACATAGAAAGTAAATGTTAACATTATATTGAAACATTGGTTTATATTTTCCAAAACAACTGACCACAGAGTTAAGGGACCAGAAAAATATCAATCTGTAAACATGTGTTGTACTTTAAATGAGGAAAATAAACATGCCTTATGGATATGACAAAAAAAGTCTGCAGGTTTACAGTACACAACATACTTTTTGTGGAAATTCTGGAAATTAAACTACACAACCCAAAATAAATATTGTTAATCAAAAGGATAAAATATGTCTTTCTAAAGAACAAAAATGATTAACTTTTATTTTATTTGACTTTTTGGATTTTTAAGGAAAAAGTGTCGGTATGGATGTGACATCTCTCCATTATGAATGTGAAAGATGTGACAAATTTCCATTTATGTGACTTTGTCAATGTTTTCAAACTATTATATTTGATTTACCAGAGAAATTTTTCAGTATTTATTTCTAAAGTACTGATAAATACAAGAAAACAAAAAACAGAATTGGTTTCCATATTTTGGTGAAATCTTAATTTTTTCAAAGCAAGGTTGACATTTCCATGGAATTGCTCATATATATATATATATATATATATATATATATATATATATATATATATATATATATATATATATATATATATATATATATATATATATATTCAACATTTATTTAATTAAAGAGAGACAGACACTGATTTCAAATATAATATAACAAATTATTTGCATCAAATTCATTATCAAATGAATCATTTCTAAAATTTAAACCCCTCCATCTCGTGGTTTTGTAATCCCTAGCTCAGCCTAGAAATATTGGAAAATGGAAAAACAAGGGACGGGCTGCTGGAGTTGCTTTCTGTTAGCTTCTACTGCCCTCTTGTGGCTCTTTTGGTTAGATTATTGTGAAAGTGCACACACACAGCAGCGTGACTGAATCAGGGCATGTTTTTGTTTTGTTTTTTATCTTCAGGCACTCCGCCAGGCAGCTTAGAGCCCACGCCTTCACCTTCCTCCACCACATGTCCACCGCTCCCTACTCCACCCGCCACCAACTGCAATGAGCTGCTGGCGCCATTTGACCCCGATCCAGCGGACGTGGCGCTATCCAGTGTACCTGGACAGGAGGCCTTTGATCCACGCCGACATCACTTCTCTGATGAGGACCTCAAACCTCAGCCCATGATTAAAAAGGCCCGTAAGATGCTCGTCCCTGAAGACCTGAAGGTGAGAAGAAGTTCAGCTTATCACATTATTGGACAAAATCCTCCATTATAGAACAGAATTCATGCAGTAGTGGTTAAAAGTGAAGCACTGTAGGTGAAATTGCATAATATGTGATATTAGTGACCCTACAAGCTTTATTAGACCATTAAAATTTGAGTAACATGTTATATTGCAAAGAGATATATTGGATATTGACTTTTACTGACAAAATTATTCAGTAAAAAAGGCAAGTTTACAGATTATAATGGAAAATAGGTTTTATTTTACTATGATAACATGCCAGACATGCATAAACTTACAAAGAAAAGAATATATTAACCACAATATAAAGAATTAATGGTCACACTTTAGTTTACTGTACAATTAACACTACTAACAAACCATCAAGACTTTTTAGCTCAATAAACTACTAATTAGCTGCTTATTAATATGTAGTAAGGTAGGTAGTTGGGTTAAGGTATTGGGTAGGATTAGCGATGTAAAATAAGTGGTAATAAACAGTTAATATCTTAATAATAGGAATAAATAATATAATATAAGTAATAAGCCAGAAGTAAATGGTGTGAATTATTACTTAAACTGAAGGGTTACTGTAATTATTCATATATATATATATATATATTATAATGCTTATTCCCCTGCACATTACTCAATTTTCTTCCATAACAACAAGTAAAACCATTTAAATGTATAGTGGAACTATATCCCATCATTTTACTCCTTCCAAGCCCAATTATGTGCTTTGGAAGGTTTCTATTAGCAGAACCGTAGCTGTGTTTCCATCACCCTGTGTTTAATACAGATTATCAAGTATTGCGATAAGTGGGCGATGGAAACAGCAAATTTTAATTAGCAAAAAGTCTTTAGGCTTAAATGAGGTGCTTTTGGACTTGGAAATGCATTTGTAGAATAAACTCTTGACGTTGCGAGAGTTACACACACCTGACTAATCTTCTTTGTTTACTGTTGGTAACTACGTCACCAATACTACAGTCGGCCACTCTAACAACTTGATGGAAATGCACCTAATTCATATTTGGATGAAATATGAAAAGATATGCTTCACATTAGGATGGAAACCTGTCTAGTAACATGTTTGAATGAAGTGCAGAGATTTAATAGACATCACCTTTGGCCACTACTGTACACTGTAAAACATTACTGTTGATTTTCTGTAGTTGGTCATTGATGGGTTTTCCATTGGGTGTTTTGATTCATGGATGCATTTATATTGCATTATTAAACCTTGATGGACAACTTTTGAAAAGTTGAACAAATTGAATTGAATTTATATTTTATTGTAGTTTGAAATGATACATTTGTAAACTATGGTACAAAAGCTGGTTATTATATATATTCAACTGTTGAGCAGTAATATTGTAGTAATATCTACCGAATATGTATATTGATGGGTTGCTTATATCCAGATCTTGGACATTATAGGGCCCAAAGCCTTGTAGGGCAGTGTTATTCTGCAGCTGTCTTTCTAAGTCTAAGTTTAGCAAATGACTTTTAATTATTTTAACCACCCATTCATTTTAATTCGATGTGATATTAGCTAAAAGTTCCACTTTAATTGTGGTGATCAAGTCTGATGTTCTTCCTGTCTCTATGCAAATGATATTTGCATCAGTATAGACAGTAACACTGTGTCAGTGATAACAGTGGATTTCAAAATGTGAAAAACCAAAGTGACCATGAGTACCCATGACCAGCATAGTTTTAGTGTTATGAAGTAACAGACAGTGATTTATAAAGCATGTCACATTGACTTCATCGGGAATGGCACGCGAATAATCTTCAGATCTCAGTATTAAAGCAGATCTCCTGGAAACCGAGGAGCTCAGATTCATCAGCTTTAGTGTTACAAAGGGCACAGCAGTCAAAAGCGGGAATTCCTGTGTAATCACACTGACCTCTTCTCCGGGAACTAATGGATGTTTTGGATAGTTGGAGAGAAAGCAGCATTCTTTATCATCAACATCTTATTTTTTCTTTCTCATATTTTTAAAATATAGAAGTCAAAGTTACCCAGAACATGAAGAATGTCGTCATTTATTCAACTTGTGCAATTGGATCTATGCAGGGTGGAATATAATTTCTGAATAAATTTAACTTGAAATAATTTAGAGCAGTTTAAGTATTAAATAAAAATGTAAAAATTTTTTTTTTACTATATTTCTTTATTTATTCATTTGTTTGTTTGTTTGTTTGTTTGTTATAATAATTGATAACGTTTATTCATTTTGCTGTTGAAATTTATTTCAAGTAAAGGACCATGTTTTAGTTTTACAGTTTTAGTTTTAACCATAGTTACTCTGGTCAATGAGGGAACAGATGCAGATTAAAATCTTAAAAAATTGTAACAAAAATGTCACTTTTTAATATTCATAATTAAAATGCACACAGAAAAAGGAGTTTACTTTCTTGTAATGTGAACACTAACCAACTTTAGAGAACTATGAATATGCAAATGATCGAAATATTAACCATTAATCAATACCTTTAAAATATTAAGGGTTTTTAAAACTTGAATGTATAACTAAGTAATAGTGTAACGGAATAATAATAACGGAATAATAAGTTGGATTTGGAAATCTAAAAGAAGTGCATGACATTATGGGAACTGCCTGATTTATGAGAATGCATATAGTGTTTTGAGACTTGTATCTGGTTTTCTCATGACCACTAACTTTAACTGTTGGTCACTGCAGTGGTGTGAACCACAGGCTTGTGTCTGGCACTTGAGGACATTCAGAGAAAACAGCAGATTCATGTGTAGTCAAACCACATGCTATCTGCTGCTTCAGTGTGTCTGCGGGGTCTTAAAGCCTTAATGTCTTAAATTTTCCAAAACTAAAATTTAGTTCTTAAAAAGTCACTGAAATATGACATTGTGTTTCCTAAATACTTTTAAACAGGTATTAACTTTCCTTTGTTCATGTAAAGTTTCCTACTTGCTACAACCAACAATCTATCTAAAAAAACAAACACAATTAAAAAAAGTTAAATTGATAAGTTCTATTTGCCATTATGGTTTAATTATCTTTCTCACATCCTTACAGTAACATTTCTTTTAAGGTTATCCATGTATTTATGCATAAACGTTTGTTGTGAATAAATTGAGTTTATTGTATATTAATTATTGTAAAGTAATAAAAGTATATACAGTATGAGCAAATGTTCACGTCAAACAGTTTTTGAAAACTAAAATTGATTTATAAATGTATATTAAATATTTCTAACTATCTTTTGACTCGATATTTAAAATATGTGGGTAAGTAATAACAAAATTTCAGTTTTAATGGGGCAAGTAAAAAAAATCCGCTGGCCATTACAATAATTCCTTGGCATTTTGGCCTGTAAACGTCTGAATGTCAGTCTAAAAGTCTTAAATTTGCTGAAACCCTGTGCTTCAAAGATGTTTCTCACTGTAATGTCAGCTCTCAAATAGATCTTTTATTTTTCTTTCCAGGATGAGAAGTACTGGAGTCGACGTTGTAAGAACAATGAGGCAGCAAAACGCTCTCGCGACGCTCGCCGGCTGAAGGAGAACCAGATCTCAGTGAGGGCCGCGTTCCTGGAGCGTGAAAACGCTGCTCTCAGACAGGAGGTGGCCGATATGCGCAAAGAGCTCGGCCGCTGCCGTAACATCCTCAACAAATACGAGAGCCACCATCTGGATCAGTAAATGGAGAGGAGGAACATGTGATAAATGCGATGATGGATGGAGAACGCAATGAATGTCCTGTGATAGACACAAGCTAAGAGACAGAGGAAAGTGCATCGATTATATTGAAAGATGTATGAAGACCGCACAAGCTCAAGTTGTAAACTGGAGAGAGAGAGAGAGAGAGAGAGAGCATGTCACCTCTCTTAATAGTTTTTCTTTTTCTTTCTTTATTTCCAGTAAGGTACAATGGTAAGATTTTAATTATGGAGAGAATTGTATATTTTTATATGATAGAACGGGAAAAGGAAATTTTTGAAATTAATTTTTTGTATATTTTCTATATCTTCGTGAGGGCTGTAAAGTACTGATGGAACGGGTCGAGGTATCACTGTAATATAAAATCAGATTTATGTGGTATTTTTGAAGCAATCAACGCTTAATCCCAAAGTATACTTGAGTTTTTACACGTACGCACGGGTCTTTGTACAGTAACACAAACTTTGTCATCATTCAGGACGGTGTACTGTACACACGACGCTCAATTTTTGTAAGCACGCATACAATGTACATGTCGCTAGCACATGCTTTTGGAGCGTTTTTGTAAAATTTTCCACAAGGCGTCAACACTGAACCAGCCACTGTAAAAAAACGATAGACTCTACGTGTGAGGTGTTTTTATCGCTCGTAGAGAGAAAAGATGCAGACAGTGGTTGACAATGACTCCGTTTAGTGTGCCGTATGTAGAACCTCTGTGCTAGTGCTCAAGTGGATTATACTCTGAACGATTGACTGTGCTACATGCTAACGTATGCATACAAAACAAAGTATACTTGGGGCTTTCGCAGTTGAAGACTTTTTATTGTCGTGAAGGAGAAGAGCGAGCAGCAGAATTTTAACCTTTTAGAGATTTAGAAAAGATCTTTCTAGAGAACTTAAACTGTAAAATACTGAGAATAAGATATACATTTAAATTTGTATAGAAATGTTAATATAGATTTATTCGAAAGCACTTGTGATAAACTTGTTCCTAATATTTTGGTAAAGGTGAACAAACATTGATGATGGGACATGATTTGGGGGGAAAGCAGTTCATCAGTTCACTGCTTAGGGGTGTGTGATGTTTATCATTTACCATACTTGCGCAGTTGTTTTAATTGCTTGAGAGATGACATTATCGGTAATGCAGGAGTCCAAAGAGAAGAAAGAGCCTCAGGTTACGAATACGATATGATACATGCAAGACTTTATATTATAAAATACTTTAACAAGAAACATGGTTATATTAAGCTGCATTTTAGACACACAGACTTCTATTTGACTACTTTGTGGGCAAAAATCTTGCAAATTTTAATTCCTAAATGAATCTGTTTTTGAACAAATCATCTGAGCCAATGTTTCCAAATGAATCAGCCTTTTGAACAAATCAATTGAATTAACAATTGAATCAGTCCCTCAATACACTTTTCATCACACTGTGTGGTTAATTAGTTCTAACTACATTTGTTTTTAGGTCCTTGTTACTTATTAAACTAAGTTAATCATCGTCTAACTTACAGTGCTCAGCATAATTAAGTACACCCCATTTTGAAAATGAATATTTTATTTTTTATTTTTCAGTGAATATAGGCTATATATTTTGGTGCATTTAAACAAAAATAGATTTATTAAACAGATATTTATTTAAATAGTATTTTAGTCACCAAAATATATTCAGAAATTGAAATATAATACAATTAAATTCATGCAAAATATTGCAAAATTCCTACAAAATATTCCTACAAAATAAAAAATTTTTTTTTTTGCTTCTCTTGATTTCTTTTTACCCTCTTCTTTAAATTTGTATTTAACATTTTTCTACAACATATAAATTTGAGTGTTCTAGTTTTTGGACCGTTATCATACATTATTTTATTAGATCTAGTCCAGATTTGGCTTCAGTACTGACAAATGTAATGTATTTGCACAAATATAATATTAAAAATATGCATTTAAAAGAAAGATTTCTAAGGGATGCACTTGTATATGCTGAGCACTGTATATTTACATGATACACAAACTGTTTTAAGTTAGTTTAATATAGTTCAATGAACTCATATGGTTAAATTGATTCAGCTTAAAAATTGAAGGCAGCCAGGATTATTTCCAGTGCACCTACAGATGGTTTTAGTGTCGCAATTGTCCTCAACAGGCTTAAACAAGCAGAAGCACCATTACAAAAATAAACTAATGGGTGATATTGTTTAATTATTATATGAATAAATAAATATCACACACCCCTATTTACTGCTGATATTTATTTGCCATTCTCAACGCAAAACTGAACGTGTAATGATGGTTTAGGAAGATGGTGAAGAAAGACTTGCATTAAGTATCACATTTTATCGGCATTTTTGTCTTGATTTTTCTTAAACGGTGAACTCGGTTGCATTTTATTTCTCTCTTCCTCAAGTTGCTATCTCCTGTCTACCGTGTACTCCTCTTTTTATAGGAATCTGACTCATGGTTGAATACTAAAAACGCTTTTCAGCAGCAGCAGCAGCAGCAGCACACATCCACAACATGCAGATCTTAAGAGTGAACTTTCAGAGGCTGTTCTTGCTGTGCAAAAACACAATTTGAGCCTCGACGGATTGAATATATATATTTGGGACGTGACTCTCATCTGATTGTATGAAAAGCTATTGGATGCACATTTCAGAACAGGCTGACATTGAGACATTTGTGCTATTGCTGGTTTCGCACCTGTATATGCAAAGACATTGAAGCGCTTTTACTTTTATTTGAACAATATTGAATTTTTACAACCTGATTACTGGTGTCAGTACGAAATCTGTTAGTTTTGTGGTTCCTCATTTCTTTTGTCTGTCTGTTTCTTTCCTTAATGACCATTAAAGTAACTTCACTTATTATGAATTATTATTGATCTGATTGTTGTTCTTACTATAAATGAATTATTTTTCTTGTTTCGTTTCCTTGATACTTTCAATGTTCCTTTAAAGACTAATGTGTCTCCTTTTGGCCGTGGAGATTTTGTTCTGTTTGTTATCGCGTTCATCTTCAGCATCGGTTAGAAGAAGTGTGTCATGACTGCAGATCAATCAATGGAAATAAAACGGATCCCCAAAATGGATTTCTTTTCCTGTACACTAGCATTATAAAGACCATCCTAATACTGTTTGCTCCGTCTTTCTCTTTTTTCGTGCATGTAGGTGTTTGAGCGAACTGCCTTTTTTCTGCCCAGTAATTTGCCGCTTGTTTTTTTTTTCCATCAGTGACAATATACTTTTTTCATATGGATTATGGGTAATGTAGTCCTTACTTTTCTGCACTTCCACATGTGGATGACTATGAACATTTTGTGTTGTGACTCTCTCTTGTTTATTTTTTTTTTGATGTACAAATGCCCTAATGCATCAGTGTTACCCACACTGCACCTAGCCAAAGTAATGCAGGGGAATGTAGTCTTTTTCTCCAAGACCACAAATAAAGTATTGTTCTTACTCACTAAACGCTCTCTTGAGTATGATTTTGTTGCATCTTATATAGGCATGTTATGTGTGTCACAAAAAAATAAATAAAACATCCAGTCAGTGGCTACAGTCATGTGACTTGGAGGTTCATTCCACTATGACGACCCCTAATAATGAAGGAAAACGAATGACTGAAACATTTTCGTTTTTGGGTGAACTATTCCTGCATGATTCCTGTATGGCACTAGCTTGCTAACATTAATAGCTAATAACATATTTATTATCATAAATATGACTATTGCTTTGGTCAAAACCTAAATAAACAATTTTAAGCAATTAATTTTTATGGTCATCAACAGAAATGAGTTGGAGTGGGCATTATGACAATATACAGAGGTTGGATAATGATGCTGAAACAATGGGCAAATTAGTGTTGGAGGTTTCATGGCTGAATTTGACCAGTCTGGTGGCAAATCTTTATTGATTCCACATTCCACCATCAAGAGCAGCGTGGGAAGGTTTAATTAGCAGAGCAATAGCATAGTTTTACTTGACATATTGCAAAGCAAATGAAGTTATGGGTGACGTATCAGAGTTCAAAAGAAGGTGGAGAATGTCTCGCTGGCGCATCTGTGACCAAGACAGCAAGTCTTTGTGATGCATCAAGAGCCATGGTATCCAGGCTAATGTCAGCATAACACCAAGAAGAAGAACCACATCTTACAGGAGTAACTGTGGACGTAAGAGGAAGCTGTCTGAAAGGGATGTCCAGGTGCTTACTAGGGTTGGGTACCCGGCCAAGTCAGCATATGAATTTCGCTACTTAATGTGCCATTGGTTCTGCCACAAGAACGTAAAGCAGGTCGCACACCACAAGCACCACTCGACGTTGCGCAGCGCCATGCAATTTAGAATTCAGTCAGTGGATGTCCACGGCATCCAGCCACGACTCAACACTGTTCATATTTCTACCGTGCCACAAAGCGCCATCTTAATAGTTTCATTTTAAATAACATGCCTTGTGTCACACCATCTCAAAATGTTTAAACAGATTTGAGGGATATGGACACCACCAGCGATGTCAGGTGTTTGTTGTTGTTGCTTATAGAAGGCAAAGTGTGCAGTATGGCGCATGCGGCGAGTGACTCACTTCATCAACACGCATGATCGCATTCATCTAATTTGCTTAAACTAAGCATTCTACAGTATGGCTATATTTTACAAGCAACGATTCTGACACACCAACATGCAGCAGATGCTTTACAAAAGTTGCGTGTAGGGGGGGGAAACATGTCAAACTTATGAAATGTGAGGAATGGACTGTCTTTGACAGCTTGTGATATTTCAGCGGGAATGTTCACATGGACGCCAATACTTTGATTTTAATATGATTAAGACAATACTCTGATCAAGAGTCTCCCACGTAAACAGTGATTTTTGATTACCTTAAAGGACCACAGACACAAACAGCGAAGGAAACATTTATAGGCTGGTGACGCAATGATGTTAATGGATCTGTGCTTTAACATGTAACTGGGAATCATGAAT